ACTAAGAGGTTGACTATGTGGTGTAATTCTATGAAGACATTCATATATTAACTAGCAGCAGAAGTTCTTTTTGCGTCATTACTTTTTTGTTTTACTTTGCACCAATGTTTCCACCAACCTTCCTGTATCCGATGAGTAATGTGGCTTTAGGATGTAGGGACAGGACGCTCAGTGCTTAGACTGCCCAGAGAGTCAAAAGCACGTATGCATCTCAGCATGTTTTACGTTCCAGTGAACTTGTGGTCAGCCGCTTGCCTAGTCAAAGATTACAAAGCTTTAAAGTATTTGCTATACAAGCGAGTGCTCAGTTTCCTCTGTCATGTGACAGTCGGCTGAGTAAGCCAGTTGTGTGCAGTTGTGCCTGCTTGTTATGTGCTACATGATGATCTTATTGTACACCTGATTTCCCCCCCCCCCCACTCTTTTGTGTATTTCCAGCTACATTAATGGTCAAGCTCGCCCATTTGGTGTGGTTGATTTAGCACTATACCTACCCATATTCAATTTAAATCTCTTTTTATTGTTTATTGTTTTTCTGATTCTACCTTGTGTCATCAAAGTTTTAATCACTGCATTTTAAAGCTTAAATATTAAACTTCAGCCCTGTAGATAACAAGTCTGGGATTTTCTGCTCTGACACCCCCCCCTTTCTTCTCAGTCTTACATGTTTTATTTTCTGTCCAGCTGCCTTTCTCACACAGACGGTATGTTTGGATGACACAACAGTCAAGTTTGAGATCTGGGACACTGCAGGACAGGAACGGTATCACAGCTTGGCACCTATGTACTACAGGGGAGCACAGGCTGCCATCGTGGTCTACGATATCACCAACACAGTAAGTCACATGGACTGTGACGTCAGCCAAGACAGTCAAAAGTCTTGTGTCATTTGTTTGTTGACCCTTGTCTTCCAGCCTGGATTGATGATTGCTTAATTCAAGAGATGGCTACAGACCTTTGCTCTTTTAACTCTTACAGTGATATGTAACATGTAAAACCTCTATCAAGGTTTAAAAGTTTAAAAGCACCGCATATATAACTGTATTTTATTTCTTTTTTTCTTTTTGAAAGGATACATTCACACGTGCAAAGAACTGGGTGAAGGAGCTCCAGCGACAAGCCAGCCCGAATATTGTTATTGCACTGGCAGGAAACAAAGCAGATCTGGCCAACAAGAGAGCTGTAGATTTCCAGGTAGAGATTAATTTTTACAGTCTGACATTGAAGTTCTAAAAATTCTTTAATGAAACTCTTGAATATATTAATATAAGCAGTCAATTTCCCAATTTCTGTGTTTGTGTGTTTATTTCTGTAGGAAGCGCAAGCATATGCAGATGACAACAGTTTGCTCTTCATGGAGACTTCAGCCAAGACTGCTATGAATGTCAATGAAATTTTTATGGCTATAGGTAAGAACTAACAAAGACACACTTTACTGTCATGTAGAGCTGCAACAATTAGTCTATTAATCGATGTGTCGATCAATTGAAAATAAATTTTCAAATATCTTGATAATTAGTGTTAATTTTCTTGATTAATAGTTTTGTTTATAATTTCCCATCTTCAATTTACTTATTTTAACTGCCCATCAGTCCCAAGAAATTCAATTTAGTGTACTGGAAATCCTCACATTTAAGAAGGTTGAACCAGAGAATGAATGAGTTAAAGGATTATTCCTCTTTTAAAATAGTTTATACATTTTCTGTGGATTGACTAATCAAGCCAAAAAATGATTTAGGCTCTATTTAGCCATTTCTTAAGTAAAAATTACAAATGTTTAATATTTCTGATTCTCATGTGTGAAAAGTTGCTGTTCTCTTGAAGTAAATTGAATATGTTTGGGTTTTGGACTTTTGGTCAAATAAAACAAGACATTTGATAATATCACCTCAGGCTCTAGAAAATAGTTTTCACATTTTTTTCATCACTTTTTTTATATTTTTATTAATAGTGTTTACTATTTTCTGATTAAATGAATTGGCAGAATAATTGAAAATGAAATGAGTCATTTGTTGCAGCCCGACTGCCATCTTGCCAATTAATTTCTTGTACTCCTAACTCAAAACAGCGAAGAAGCTTCCTAAGAACGAACCTCAGGGCGGAGTGGGCGCCGGTGGACGAGCCAGAGGCGGCGTGGACCTGCAGGAAGCTGCACCGCATGGCAGGAGTGGCCAGTGCTGTGGGGGCGGGAACTAACCAACACAACAATAAGTCCGCTGATCCGAACCAATCTACAGCTACGATCAACCAGACCAGATATTAGCCAGCTGTCAAACAATGTCCCATTGGTCATATCAAACCATGGTCAGACCAACCACCCTTTGAGCAACACATCATCAATTAACTGTTTGGCAAATGAGTCCTCTGGCCAGCAAACTGCCAGACCCCACTGACGGATCCAGCTGATGAACCAACCAACAGACCAAGAAATCAACCCACAAGCGTAGTGGCAAAATCATGTTTTAACCCCAGGACTTGCCAATCCATGACCTCTCTTGATGATGGACACTTGACGTCACCTTAGGGGGGGAAAAAAACATCCCATTCATGGAAGATGGAAAAAAAAAAAAAAAAAAAAAGATCAGTGATTACCAATGGCACACAATAAGGCCATCTTTCTCACGTTTGTTTCTGTATTTGTGTAGGGGGGGGGGGGAATTAACGCAACCAGAAGGAAAATAAACAGGCTGGTTGGCCCTGTCCTTTCTCTTCTACCCTCTGCTTTCCCACGCACCATAAATTAAGTATTTCGATGATGGTTAAACTCCAATCCAGGTGCATGCAGCAGTCCTTCGCTTTTCTGTCTTGTTCCTGGTCAGCTTCCTGGAAAAGATGAAGCGGGAAGGTTCGTAACAGGAGAATGGGAATGGACTGATATGATAGATAGATGATAGGGCTGTGTAGATTGACTTATTACATTGTTATTGTTTTCACTATTATTATTATTATTACTCCAACTTCTTTTGACACAGGCTGTTCAGTATGATTTTAAAGCCTAAACTTTAAGGTTTTACAATCACCCATCTATGTTAAACCATATACAGTAAATAGTACTTTATTAACATTGTCACCCATAAGTAATTTTAGCATTAATATAATGTTTTTGAATCATCAGTGTATGACAACTACATAAAGCAAGATATGATTTCTAGACCAAAATCACAACTGTGTATTGACAACATTGCTGTATTTGTATCAGACTCTTCAAGTTTATAATCAATCAGTAGTCATTGTCAAAACTATCTTCACAATCTCTACATGATGTTTTGTTAACCTTAATTATTTTGTGATGGATTTTTTTATGTCAATTTTTTTCCTGGAGATCTATGGTATTAAATGCACTGGTTCTGTCTCATCATCTTTGTGAATTGAGATGTTATCGTTGGCTTCTTTTTCTTTTCTTTCTTGGTTTTTGCTCTTCATATCAGGGAGGGGATTGCTTTCAACTGTGTTGTCATCCTGTTATGGCATCAACAGCTAGCACAACAGCACCTGGACAGCAACCACTGCTGGTGGGGGGATAACTGGGAGGGTGGGGTCATGGGTAGAGTAAGAAGGAGAAAAAAAAAACATTTTACCAATAAACAAGGGGATGGTATCTCTTCTGTATGCCTGTTTAATCATTTCACCTTATCCAAATATTAATGTCTCAGACAATTACCAGTGAAACATTTGCTTTTGATTATCCTTTATTTAAAACATCCTAGCTCCCCACCCTAATTATCACTTTTTTTTTTTTTAATACACCAGAAACTACATTACACAGAACCATTACAACAGATCAGACGTGTTGCATTCATGTGCACTTGCTATGCAGATACCCATACATCTTTTCTGTGTTGCATGTTACACAAATGAGTCTATTCAAGGCAGATATGCTGGCACTTCCGATTACCTTTGCAAAACAAAAGAGAGACTCTGTCTTAAAAATATTATTTCTACCAGTAGGCCAATTAAGTAAAGTAATAGTTATTGCATTATTTGACATGGTTGATAACAAAGTTAACTTCATTAATGTATTTATTGTGTATATTACATGACAGTGAACAGCCTTATTGATGCCTCTAAATAAGTTTTTTAATTTATGATTCGTTTTTTCAATCGCTTCATAAAGTCACGTTATTTGGAAAAGTTACAACCGGAAGTGATGGCATGTTATGTCTGCCTATGTACTTTGGACGAATTTAAGGTGCTGCAGTTAATGATTGTGACCACTGGAGAGCAGGGAACCCTCGCAATTCTTCTGTAATCTCTAATCTAAAGGCAAAATAACAATAAAATATAAATAGATACAGAAATAGGATTTTTAAATTAAAATATACCATAAGAAATTTGCTAAAATTGAATAAACACACGGCAGACGGAGAACTAACCACTGGTGTGTAGAAGCCAATGTGTGGATTGCGACCATGGACTGAGGAAGCTACTTCTGTAGGCTAATTTCACAGTCTATGCATATTACTTATTGTGAGAAGGTAATCTGTAAGGTCTACAATTTCCTCGCGATTATAAAGGGTTTAAGAACGAGTTTTTTTCCCGTCAGTCTGTTTATGGCAACCAGTGACTCTACTAAGTCAGTACACAGTTAATAAATTTACTAAGAAGACCTTTTAATATAGCTAGAGGTGTGGTTAAGCACTATGGGTTACTCACTGAACATCAATCAAGGCAACCATGAAGGACTCGGGCATCAAGGCAGACAAAATAGTTACTGAATCTTCCGGTCAAGACATCCAAAATAAAACATTAAAATTAGGCAGCTCGCTGTTCTAGTTCTACTTTGTAAAGTTGATACTGTGTGGGAAGGTCTGTTTCGAGCGTAAATCACTTGTTCTCGGTCTTTGAATTCTTTACGTATGAACACCTTTGTTTTAATGGAAACATCTCAAGTTGTTTCCACTAGTTAACACTGCTGCGGTCATCTTAACTCCCATTTTGCCGACAGCACTTGAAGGCAGCATATGAGCTAAACGGGAGCGGAGGAAGAGTCTAGCAGCGTTATGTCGGACCCGGCGGCGCAGGCCTTGCAACCCCGGCTTCTCCAAGCCCAGTCTACTGGCTCAGCTGGGTCCAGTACTCCCGCGACAGGCTCCGGGTCGGGGAATAGTGACCCGGCCAGACCAGGACTTAGCCAGCAACAACGAGCAAGCCAGAAGAAAGCCCAAGTCCGAGCTTTCCCACGGGCGAAAAAGCTTGAGAAACTTGGCGTATTCTCCGCATGCAAGGTAGCTAACGTTAGCTTAGCTAGCCAAAGTTCACCACAACAAAGCACTCTTAGGTAGTATTAGCATTGGTGCATATTGCCATTATAGCACAGCTAAGGAATTGCAAACGAATAAACATAAACAAATGAACGCAGTAACCTTACGTAACTGTTAACTTTTGTAAGTTAGCTAGCTAAACGGTCTCCCAGGCATTGGCACTGCATCTTTGAAGATGCTGCATGTATTATCAGCTAGCTTAAGTTTAGTCATTCATTAACGTACAAAAACTGCAGTTGCGTTAGTCACTGTTTACGTTGCTTTATTTGGTGTTGAGCATAATTTGCTTATTCGCAGGCTAGTGACACATGCAAGTGCAATGGATGGAAAAACCCAAATCCACCATCAGCCACACGTATGGACCTACAACAACAAGCAGCCAGCCTGAGCGAGCCGTGCCGCAGCTGTGGACATGCTCTGGGTACAAACTAACCAGCTTCCACTACAGCACAGCCTTTTTCCCACCAACAAATAAAGCTATATTCCTCGGACTTCTTCCACAATGTTGTTTGACTTCTATGTTTGTAGTTTGACTTAACCATATTTATGACTTATTTAATGCCTTGCTTACAGCTGATCATGTGTCCCACTTGGAGAATGTGTCCGAGGATGAGATTAACAGGCTGTTGGGGATGGTGGTGGATGTGGAGAACCTTTTTATGTCTGTACACAAAGAGGAGGACACTGACACCAAACAGGTCTACTTCTACCTTTTCAAGGTAACCTAATGTGCATCTCACATCAATGTAAGAGGTAAAACAGATCTACCAATAACTGCGAGTCTATGTGCATGATATTCTTCAGCCCAGTTTAACAGTCAACGTTGTTATTCTTTTATACGGTATTTCCCTTAGCTGCTGAGAAAATGCATCCTGCAGATGAGCCAGCCAGTTGTAGAGGGATCTCTTGGAAGTCCACCCTTTGAAAAGCCCAACATTGAGCAGGTGAACATAAAACTAAAATGATCTACAGGTCATGTCCTGATGGTCAGCAGTAGCTGGAAAACCAACAGGATAATCCTGCCTGTCTCAGAAGATGGGCATGCTTGTTATTTGTGTCTTGTGCTTTATGCCCTTGTCATGCATTGTATAGTTTTGTATTGGTGTACCTGTGGAAAAGAGTTTGAAGACAAACAAACTTATGCCAGGATGCTGCTTCGTTGCATTTGCCTCTTTTTCTTAATCTTTTGTTTCCTTTTCCTCCAAAGGGGGTTTTGAATTTTGTGCAGTACAAGTTCAGCCACCTGGCACCAAAGGAAAGGCAGACGATGTTTGAGCTTTCAAAGATGTTCCTCTTATGCCTAAATTACTGGAAGCTGGAGACGCCAACGCAGTACCGCCAGCGCACCCAGAAAGACGATGGGACAGCATACAAAGTGGACTACACCAGGTGTGTGGGTGTGTTGTTCTTAAAGAAAGCAGGTACATGTGTTTACCTGTTAGATTTCTGTGTTGGATGCTGATATCAGTCAATAGCAGTATTTTTTCCGTGTGACTCCCAGGTGGCTGTGCTACTGCCATGTCCCCCAGAGCAATGACAGCCTACCGCGCTATGAAACCACTCAGGTGTTCGGTCGTAGCTTGCTCAAATCCATCTTCACTGTGACTCGACGCCAGCTCCTGGAGAAGTTCAGAGTGGAGAAGGACAAACTGCTACCAGAGAAACGCACACTCATCCTCACACACTTTCCCAAGTAAGGGCAGACTGTCTTGAAATAGTTTGTGTCTCTCAGCTTTAATGACAGCTGAAAAAGATATGGATTCAATTGAGCAACATGGGGGGCCTCAAAGGGCTCATCGCTACACTGCTATACAAGGTTTTTGAGGATTTGCCTTTGTGCACCTTAGCATAATGATGATTTGACCACTCAAAGCGCCAAATGTCACATTCATCCCATTCATACACTGATGGAAGGAGCTATGGTGCCAACTGCTCATCAGAAAAAAACCTCATAATTCATGCACACTCACACAGCCTACAGGAGCAATTTGGGCTTCAGTATCTTGCCCTAGTACACTTTCACATGCTGACTAGAGGAGTTGGGAATCTTGTGAATTATACTGCTCTACCTCTAAGCCACAGCCACCCTGAACAACTGTTCATAATAATTTAATACAGACCATTAATACATTAACATCAGTGTTTACAGAGGGACCTTATTTGTAGGATCAGGTGATTTTACTGACCATGTATTTGTGAGATTACATTCAGGCTTTAGACATCAAACCACAGTGTGCAAGCTGCTGTGTTTGCAGCAGAGGTGTAGGTGTGTGCGGGGAAAAGAGAACCGAAGGGAAATCCGATTAAATTAGTGAGTAAACACTAATATAAGGTGGATAATGAAGTACATTAAAATGTTGAAACAAGCTACTAGAAACAGAAAATATATTGTGCTTGCCTTTGATAGAACTTTTTATGCTGAATATCATCAGGTTCTTGTCCATGCTGGAGGAGGAAATCTATGGCGAGAACTCACCCATCTGGGAGGCTGACTTCACCATGCCCGCCTCCGACGGCACACAGCTCGGACATCAGACAGGTGAGGACAGTACTGTACTCAATTCATCATAACCTCTATAAACAATAAGTGTGGGGATTTTTTTGAGCAGGGATTAACTATGACAAGTAGAGAATGTAAAATCCTCAAGACTTAATTGATCCCCTGAGGTAAAATTCACATGATGCAGCATGCTAAGAGACACAGCAAATGCATAGGAAACAGATTAACCAGAGCAAGCTTTTGCTGCTGTTTAGTTTGTTTAGTAATTATTTACCTTGGTGTGTCTCAATTGCAGTGATCAGTCCTGCTGCAGTATCCGGCTCCCCCGCTCTGCCCAAGGGTCTAAGCAGCATCTCCTCTTTGGGCAGCATGGACCCAGGAGGTGCAGAGCCCATCACAGGTCTGTGAACACTGCTTCTTTGATTCTTCATTACCTTTCTACCAGACCCTCAGTAGCTACGGTGGTACCATATAAATGTCTCATGCAGTTAAATAGAGTTGTGTAATATTAAAAGCCACTCTAAAACACCCAACACACTCTGTGGCTACATATGTTACTCAAATATTTATATGCTTATTGTAATCACTGCTGTCTGTTCAGGAGAAAAACGTAAACTTCCAGAGGCGATGACCCTGGAGGATGCCAAGCGGATCCGTGTGATGGGAGACATTCCTATGGAGCTGGTCAATGAAGTCATGATGACAATCACTGACCCTGCTGCTATGCTTGGACCAGAGGTAAGTCATTTAATGTAGGGGATCTGGTAAGGGAAAAGGGGCTTGTTAAAGGTTTAGACTGTAATACTCACAGTCTATTGATATTCATAGACTAATCTGCTGACGCCAAATGCTGCCCGTGATGAGACTGCCAGGCTGGAGGAGAGGCGGGGTATCATAGAGTTCCACGTCATTGGAAACTCGCTTTCCCAGAAGTCCAACAAGAAGATCCTGATGTGGCTGGTTGGCCTGCAGAATGTCTTCTCTCATCAATTACCTCGCATGCCCAAAGAGTACATCACACGGCTGGTGTTTGACCCGTAAGTAAATGTTGTTGTAGCACATGTTATCGGATGCCTGCGCACTGTTCTGATATGTCCATCTTCCACAGGAAGCACAAGACCCTTGCTCTTATCAAAGATGGCCGCGTCATCGGTGGCATCTGTTTTAGGATGTTTCCCACTCAGGGCTTCACTGAGATCGTCTTCTGTGCAGTCACATCCAATGAGCAAGTTAAGGTACATGATAATCATTCACACTCTTCAGAGTTGTGGCTGTCCAAATAATGATTAAAGAAGTCCTTGTCAACACATTTTCATTTGTAGTATATTCTTTAGCATCTTTTTAGTTTCTTAATGACACGGACACATTTATAAAACACCCTAAAGCTAAGAGGAGCGGTCCAAGTTAGGGCAGCAGTCCTAACTTTAACGCTACGTCCACACGTGACGGCTACCTCACTGAACTGCTACATCTCACACACATGTGGTGTCCACACAGATGACTTTTCTGCTGCCAGCCCTGTCTTTCTTCATGGAGTTTATCTTTGATAGATACAATACAAAAAAAGCCTGGAGGGACTGGTTGCTGCTCTAATGTGGTGAAAAGCTCAATAATTGTTTTTAGAAAAATATTCTTCAGTGGTGCAAAATTATTTGCATTTGGAAAGATCAGAATAGTATTGAGATGCCTTATGTACTTATGTAAACAAATTTCTTCTCTGGTATTTTTAATGGAAGGGCTATGGTACCCACCTGATGAACCACCTGAAGGAGTATCACATCAAACACAACATCCTCTATTTCCTCACATACGCTGACGAGTACGCCATTGGCTACTTCAAGAAGCAGGTACTGCAGACATGACTTGTACATTAGCTTTGCCCCTGTCCTCTCCCTCCACCTTTTACTTTCAATAATTTGTCCTTTCCTGGCAGGGCTTTTCCAAAGACATCAAAGTGCCGAAGAGTCGATACCTGGGATACATCAAAGACTACGAGGGAGCGACACTCATGGAGTGTGAGCTGAACCCGAGAATCCCCTACACTGAGCTCTCTCATATTATTAAAAGACAAAAGGAGGTATGAGAGGCGGTGAGATGTTCTAATTAAAGCAAAAAATGTGTTTTCTGAATCTTTGTTTTTAATATCGCAGAAATATTTAATGTCAACGTTTAACAGATTATTAAGAAGCTGATTGAGAGGAAACAGACCCAGATAAGGAAGGTTTACCCAGGTCTCACCTGCTTCAAAGAAGGTGTACGACAGATCCCAGTGGAGAGCATTCCAGGCATAAGTGAGTGTTTCGTTTGTTTACAATAAAAAAACAAACCAACAATCTGTATTATCATATTACTTACACATATTTTCCTTCCAGGAGAGACAGGCTGGAAACCCAGTAACAAGGAAAAAGGGTAAACTTTTAATATATATTATTTAAATGAATGTTGTAGTGTTGAGATGCCTGTGTTCTTGCTGATGTTATTATCAGGTGCTCTGGAAGAGCATCGCTGAGCTATAGAGCTGGAGGTTGTTCAGTATGTCTCGCATAAAGCGCTTTTATGCTCCTGTACTAATAGATGTAAATGCCAACACCCACCCAGAGCGCCAAGCAAGACTAAAGTTCCTGCTTACAACAAGTAAAGCTATCTGTCCATCAGAAAAATCTGTAAATCCCCGAAGGTTGAGGCAGAGCAGCCAGAGGACATCAGAAGGAAAACCAGAACATATTTTCTCCATAAAATCTGATCGAGTTATAAAGGTGTGCTTTCATACTGTGATCAGTGATGCCTGGTCTCGTAGCCAGACCTATCGCTACACTGCGATTCACAACTGTGCCAGCTAATTCCTGTCCCTCTGCAGGCTTCCAGAATTTGGCCATTCAGAACAAAGTGTTGTTTTGGGCAAGGTGGGCTTCAAGAGACAGGAGCTGAGTGTTCAAACAAAGGTGCCATAGAGGTGTTGAAACTATGCACAGTATGAGAAAAATGTTTTTTTGCACATTAAAGCACGTAAACATTTTCTACTAGACACATTCTGAAATTGTAAAACCACAAAACCTTGTTCTTTTTCTAAGGAAGTTCATGTCACTCCCCTCTGGATCCCAGACCGACCTTATCAATACCACGGAAACAAAAAGATTAGATAAGGAAGGTTTACCCAGGTCTCAGGTCTCTCAAAAATCCATCATTGAATGCTTGGCCTCTAAAAAATGTACCCTGCCCTGAAATGCGTTTGTGAAATATAGGGATTCATTAATGTTGTTGTATGTATGTTGTATGAATGTTGTTGTGTTGTATGAATCTGATTAAAATGCATAATCTCATTTGGAGATCTCAAAGTGCTTTTTTTCCCTCTATTCTTGTCCAAGTGTAGTCAATATTTTACTAATTTATCATTCCACATTTTGCAGGAAAGAGGTGAAGGATCCTGACGTGTTATACAACATGTTGAAGAACCTCCTGGCCCAGATAAAGGTAAGGGTCAGCTGTTGATACGAGACAGCAACACACACAAACACCACACGAGTAACAAGAACATAGACAAACCAGGACTTTATTATCTCTTCAACAGACTCATCCTGATGCCTGGCCCTTCATGGAACCAGTGAAAAAATCGGAGGCTCCAGATTATTACGAGATCATCCGCTTTCCCATTGGTACATGAACATCTGACTGTATAGCAGCTTATTTTCTTACTGATTACATCGTTTAGTTCCTGCTTATGTTACAGAAACTATTCATTCCATTATTAATACACAGATTGTTGTTCTCTTCTCCTGTTTTGTCTCCACAGACCTGAAGACCATGACAGAGAGACTGAAGAACAGATACTATGTGACCAAGAAGCTTTTCATTGCCGACCTGCAGCGAATCATCACCAACTGTCGCGAGTATAACCCTTCAGACAGCGAGTACTTTAAGTGTGCCAACACCTTGGAGAAGTTCTTCTACTTCAAATTAAAAGATGGAGGCCTGATCGAGAAATGAACTCAGCCACAGAATTATTTAGTGATTTTGTAACAGATGAAGAATGACTTTACAGCTGCCACACACCAAGATGGAGCAGATAGTGAGGAAAACTTCTCTAACTATTGTCCTGAGTTAATAAATGGGTATGTACATGACTGACAAATTTTAAAAGGGCATTGTTGGAGTTGAACAAACATAACAGAGGGTTGTTTGGAAATATCAGAGCCAGTTGAGCATTGCTGTCAAAGTGGCATTACCTTTCCCCTTGAAGTGATCTTCCGTCATTTTCTCTCTTCCAGTACGCAATGGGTTAATACTCTGCATATACATGTGTCATTAAGTGTACCAAAGTTATAGGTCCAAGTTGAAACAATGCCACACTTTCCACCATTATTTATAGTATGATTTGACCTGGTTTTGTCACGTTGAATGACATTTGTTCATTCCAGTTTGCTTAAAACTCTTCACCCGAGCTGATGTATGTGTCGTGTAGTTCTTTTCATAGAAAACTGGACCTCGGGACCTAAAGCCACGTTGCCTTCAGTTACTGACAGACACTTGAACATCCCAGCCATCTTCATGGGTATTAAGACAAAGTGAGTGGTGAAGTCTTTAAAACGCTTCGCGCTGAAGGATGGACAGTACTTTGACTCTTGAGTAGCCTTGAAACGATTTTATCCGTAGATTGGAGAACAGTTAATCGAATACAATTGTTAAAGTCGATTATGTGCAAGTTTCGCCACATTTACTGGTTTTAACCTACTTAAAATTGAGGTTGTATTGCTTTTTTCTCTTCATTCCAGTGTATATTGAATATATTTGGATATTTATTGACTGTTGGTCAGAGAAAAGGGCACTTATTTATCATTTGGGCTTTAGGAACATTCATTCTTAACAAACGACTACGAAAACATCACAGATTAACCGATAATCGTTTTGTGGCAGCCCTACTCTTGAGTAGTTTGAGACACTGCTAGTGATGGACTGGGCATCTAATATTTCCAGCACTTGTGTGCTAAACAATAATTTCCCCAATCGTTGCCTTCAAGAAAACACTTGTTTTCATGTTGACAACATAATAGATGCTTATTTGTACAGTAAATATGATGCATCCATACTATTACAAACCATTTCCATTGGCAGGGTTTTGTTCCAGACCATTTTGGATAAGGTCACATATTAGTATAGCTTTTATCATGCTTGCAGGTGTGATACTGTAGTTGTTGTCATTGATTTGTTCTGTTGCTAGACTCTGAAGTAGTCACTTCCACACACATATGCTAAGTAGTCTATATAGTGTACAGCCACATGTTTGTGGTGGTCGCAGATTTACTGGCTAGTTCACGTTGATGAGATCTAAACATGGTGGAGATGAAAACTAGCCAGCAGTCCTTAGTGATTCTGGACTTTTGGAAAGATCCCACCCATACACAAGCTATAGTGGGTGTTAATGCATTACAGACAGTTTACAGTTTGAAAACATAAAAACCATCCAACTTTTAGCCACTGTTGCAGTTTTTTTCTTTTACAGTGTTACAAACATTAATGAAATGTTTAACACATTTCGTTTGTTCAGCGGTCAGTGTCAAACAAAGTGCTTCCTGAGATGCATCCTCTGCTTTTATGGGAAGTGTCTGATGCTGGGTGAGCCTGCTTGTTGAATGTTCCATTGACTTGTATGTATGTGTATGTGTGTGTGAGGTTGTGTTTATTTTGTACTTGAATCATGACTAGCTTTGAATTACTGAAGTGATGTCAGTGTTGCATTATTCAGGGTTGTCAGTTGCATACTTCTCCCTCAATCTACTTATGCTGCATTTCAGATTTTCTTAAGGTCAGTCTGAACTTTCACCTGTTTGAGGATGGCTACTGTCTCTAGTTATGGTATTAATGCCATTTACTGTAAGTGTAATACTGTTCATAACAATAAAGTTGATGTTTTTATTTGTTTTTTTTAAATAAACACTTAAATGTGTAGGTGCTTTCCAAGATTTAAGGAAACATAAATTACTCGCTGGGAACAAAAAGGGAATGCAACCAGACAGGTATGAACTTGAGTCACTTCACTCTGATTCCAGTCAGAACTAAATCAAGATTTTGGGAATTTCAGGCTTGACAAAATACAAAGACTTGTAAGACAACTTTTTATTTTTATTCCTTTTGTGGTGAATACTAAATAAACAGGACAAGTGTGTTCAAGTCGCAGGTCTCCCCTTAGTGACCCAGGTTGCATGCACTTTTGTTTTTATAACATTTGTTATAAAGTTGTCATTTTTATTTATATAGTCTAAATTACCTCAAATGGCTTTACAGCATACAGCATCCTGAGACTTATTGTTCTTTTTAGTACCAACAGTACTTCTCATGTACTTGGTTTTTAAGTGTGTGGCAGTAGGCTGTAGGTTTCACTTTCCTGATGTAACAAAAAGTAGGCAGGGCCCAGTTGAAAGACAGTATGAAAAACAAGTTTGTGGTGGCCTCTCTTTCAGTTTATAAAAAAATCGCTCAACGGTAAACCTGTTATTATAGTTTAAGATCAATATAAGTTTATCCAGGGCTAGACTATAAAGAGTTTATTGTCAGTAAAGTTTGGGCTTCCTCATGGTGAAGACTAGCCGTTGTTCCTCCAGAGCCTCCCTCAGTAGGGCCACAGATGCTTTAGTTTTGTTTCTCTGTATCACATTACCACAATTCTAAAGGTCTTGTGATTCGCACTGTCTACAGGCAGAGATAACCATTTTTATATTAATGTATATTATCTGCTATGTAGTAAAAGGGAGTTACAAACTCCAATGTGTTATATGTATTTTACTGAATGTAGTATATTTATCATGTACATTTTATTTTTTATTATTTTTCTTTCAGCAACCTTTTTATATAGAGGTAGAGGTAATTGAGTTTTGGGGTAGTCAAGACCAGAATGTATTGTCCTGCTAATAAAGGAATAGGAATCATTTTATATTATTGGTTAAGACAGACAAACTGGTTAAGAGGGCTAGCTCTGTCCTGGACTGTCCTCTGGACAACACAGAGCAGGTGGGTGGGAGGAGGATGCTAGTCAAGCTGAAGTCCATCAGGGACAACAGCTCCCACCCCATGCATGAGACAGTGGTGTCTTTAAGCAGCTTCTTCAAGTGTGAGAAGGAGTGCTACCGCAGGTCCTTCATTCCAGCTGCAGTCAGACTTTTTAACTCGGAAGCAACATAGTGTGACTATCATATTGCACTACTGTTTAACATTGTATGCGTGCCTGCTATACACCAACTGCAATACTCATTACCACTACTGCACTTTATCTAGCACAATCTGTGCAATGTTTAAACCCGGTCCTACCTGCACATACCTGCATCTGTAAATAGTATACATATTTATTCCAATTTTAATTCCTTTATAGTAATTTAAAGTCTATTTTATTTGTGTACTGTTTGCTTCTGTTGTGGTTTGTTTTTTTGTACTGGAGTTGATGCAACAAGTGAATTTCCCCATTGTGGGATTAATAAAACCTATTCTATTCTTTATTGGTATGTATAAGTACAGAACTTTATTCAGGTTATTGATTTTATTATTATTTCTGATTAGATCCGATTAGATGTGCATCTGGTTGCTCCAGAAACTGTTATACTTTATAACTTTATCACTCAACCAACCAAAACAGAAACATCAAGTTACATCAGGTTATGTTTAAACAGCCACAGGGTTTCCTTGCATAAACACAAACAATAACTGTCGGTTTTGCTTTCTTGACATCGGTTTCGCTTTCCTGATGCAACGAAGAACAGCAGCTAGGGCCCAAGTAGGGTGCATTCAAAAACTGCTCTGCTGTTAGCACCTAAAAGAGCAAATCTATAGATAAGATTTAAATATAGGAGTAGACATGGTTTCATTTAAAAAAGACCAATTTTATGTCACTGTATTTCAGTCTTCCCCAGTCACTGCAAAAGGAAGACTATATGTTGTTCCTCCAGAGCCTCCCTCAGTGGGGCCATTTTTCAGAGTTCAAAGTCTTTCATTTTCGTTTCCGTGCCTCCGCGTCACACAGCTGATCGCAACAGAATTTAAAACCCCCACCAACTGCACTGTTTGGTGGCAGTGGACAAGGCGAAGCTGAAAACACCACACAGCTGACTGGTGAGTTAATAAAGGCTGATGTCTTTTCTATCAGCTTACAGATAAATGATACAATGATTCAGCAGAATGCTTGTTTGTTTACCCCGATCTAGCCAGACCTTATGGTGTAAATTATCACAGTTTCGATGCACTTCTATGGTCTAGTGTTCATTTCTTGTCTACAAAATGTGATTTCTGTGTAATTCTGATGTGTTGTCAAACAGGAGGAAAGCGTAGGATGGCAGATTTTGAACTGTATACATACCAGAAGGAAGTGGTCGAAAGGGCTCTTCTGGGAGAGAACACAATTATTTGGCTGCCGACGGGAGGCGGAAAAACACGTGCTGCTGTGTATGTGGCCCAAAAACACCTGGAGACCACACTGAACGCTAAGGTGGTGGTCCTGGTAAACAAGGTACACAGAACACACAGACAGAACAGGCAGTCCAGAATCATTTTCATAATGATAAAAAAAACAAATGGATTTCATTTTCTTTTTACAACCAGTGTGTTTTTGATGTGTTCTACACTGTAGGTTCACCTTGTAGACCAACATTTCACCAAAGAGTTCAAACCTCACTTAGGCCGTAACTACACTCTGGTGCCAGTCAGTGGAGAGAGTGATGAGAAGGACTTCTTCGGTGACGTGGTGCGGGACTCAGACTTGGTCATCTGCACAGCACAGATCTTGTATAATGCTCTGACTAACATGGAGAAAGCCAAACATGTTGAGCTTTCAGGTCAGTAAAAGTGAGCTTAGACATTCTTGATTATAATGTGATGATAAGGTGAACTGAAGTGGGATAGGTTTACTAAGTCCCTTAATATAGACATAAGATCCACAAATAGTGACCCTTGCATTCATGGTTCCTTACAGATATTACTCTATTGATAATCGATGAGTGTCACCACACCCATAAGGACTCAGTCTACAACAAGATTATGGGATGCTATGTGGAGAAAAAGTTGAAAGGACAACAAAAATTGCCACAGATTCTGGGTCTCACTGCATCACCAGGGACAGGGGGCGCAAGGATCCTAGAAACGGCTGTGGAGCATGTGCTGCAGGTCAGGGTTTACCTTCCCCCCCCTGTTGTTTAACTGAATTTTTCACTAATATGAGCTGGTCTTTCAGAACCTCCCACAAATCTCTGCCTCTTTTTCTCCATCATAATCTTTCACTCCCTCCCAGATTTGTGCCAACCTGGACTCTGCCATAGTTTCGACCAAAAACAATACGTCTGAGCTGAAGAATAAAGTACCCAGACCCATCAAGACATTTGACATTGTGGATAAAAGGCCTGAGGTAAGCAGATTTTTTCTTTCTATTTGTAGAATAAAAAAAACAGATGTTGTGGTAGACATTAACGTACCCTGATAATTACTCCACACCGCAACTGACCTGAGATAAATGGGCCTTACACAACATAGCCTGCACTCATTTTCATCTGGATTGTCATGTTTTAACACACAAAAACTTAAGCTCTCAAAACAATTTGAAAGATGCTATAATCACAAAAATTCTACATTATCAGCCACATAGTCAATGCAAAGGCACTTTTTCTCCTTGTAGGATCCATTGGGGGATCATCTGAAGTGGATGATGCAGCAGATCCATGAGTACATGAACCTACCTCCAGACTTCAGACTGAGGGAGTGTGGCACACAAGAGTACGAGGCAGATGTGGTGGTTCTAGAGCAGCGAGGTAAGAACAGAGTTTCTTTTTTGATCCTATAGTTTTAAGGGTGTTCACTTGTGATGGCACGGAGAACACATGCTTCTGCTGATGCTTGTACATAATTTGTGTATTTTTGGATCAGGAGTAATAGAAAGCAACAGACTGCTAGCACAATGTGCACTCCACCTCAGACAGTACAACGACGCCCTGCTCATCAATGACACCTTGCGAATGACTGATGCTTATCGCTCCCTAGAGGATTTCTACAACACCAAGTTCAACACAGAAATTGATGGAACAGACTTTTTCCTGGTGGGACTTTTCCAGGGTAGGAATCCAGAAATATTAGTTAGTACTTTACTGCATGATTTTTAATTTATGTTAAGGCCACTGTGCTATTTTTCCCCATGCTAGAAATGATTAATATCAGTCACTTTTATACAGAGAATCAGATGGAGCTGAAGAACCTGGCACGGGATTCTCGCTATGAGAACCCAAAGATGTTCAAACTTGAGAGCACTCTGCTGAAACAGTTTGGTCCAGGCGTGCGATCAAGGGGGATCCTTTTCAGTAAAACCCGTAAAAGCGTCCACTGCCTACATGACTGGGTCCTCACCAATGAAGCCTTGCAGAAAGCTGGCATCAAGTCAGCCATACTCACTGGGGCTGGCAATGGTATTGGTTACATGACACAGGTGTGTTGATATACAATTCCAGCCTATTAGCATTGTATCACTCCAGTTCAGTAACATCTTAATCTATAAATGTGTTTTTTATGACTTTGTCCTTAAATACTTTTTATGTGCACAGAACGCGCAGGCGGACACAATCCGCAATTTCCGCAACGGTACTCTCAACCTCCTGATCTCCACCAGTGTGGCTGAAGAAGGCCTTGACATCCCTGAATGCAACCTAGTGGTACGCTATGGACTGCTTACAAATGAGATTGCCCAGCAGCAGGCCAGTGGGCGTGCCCGAGCAAGAGACAGCCAGTATTCAGTGGTGGCCCAGACAGGGGGGCGGGAAGTGCGCCGGGAGCTCACCAATGAATATCTGGAAGAGCTGACTGGAAAAGCCATTGCAGTGGTCCAAGATATGAAGCTCCATGAGTTTCGCAGAAATGTAAGTGTGTGGCACTTCATCCCTTACTCCAACTGCTTAGTGTTTCTGCCATCCCCTTTTTTTATTCTTTTATCTCTCCAGATAACTGAGCTACAAAAGCAGGCAGTTATTTCCAGAAAACTTTCGGAAAGCCGCACAACAGCGAGGAGGAGTCTCAACACTGCTGCCAGTATCCAGTTCTTGTGTCGAAACTGTTTCAAGCCTGTGGCCTCTGGCAGTGACATTAAACTTGTTGACAACGTGCACTATGTCAACGTCAATCCTGACTTTAAGTGAGTTGAACTCTTTTTGGTATAAGAGTTCATACCAAAGTATACTAAAGCTGAAGCCTTTACAAAATGTCTTTACTGCTCTAATCATGGCTTATCTTTTCTCTCAGGAGACACTACAAAGTTGGTGGGCAGGTGGTGCTAGAACGGAGTTTTGAAGACTGGGAGCCAGGGCGTACAATCAGTTGCAATAACGGCAACTGCAACAAGGTACAGTGGGCTCTCTGTCAAATATTAATTTAAAAAACAGACTCTGTCCCGCTTAAGGCAGCTCATCAACAGAGCTGATGTTGGTGCTCATGTTGGGGTGTGAGATTTGTTCTTATTTAAATTCACAGGAATGGGGATTTGAGATGAAGTACAAGGAGATAGCCCTGCTGCCCAATATGGCCATTAAGCACTTTGCCCTGGAGACTCCTGATGGCAGGAAGACTGTAAAGAAGTGGAAGGATGTCACTTTCACTGTTGAGAACTTCAGCTTTAAAGAATACTGCGAAGAAAACTACCCTGACACCTTTGATGATTGAGACACCCCCCCCACATCACATGTCAGTTTTTATCTGTTTTCTCACTCTTGTCTGTTGGTGCTCCCATCCAGTGCCTTGCACATGCCAATTTAGAGAAACCATCACTGTACTGTATGAGGTGCTTAAATATGAACACGTGCTTTTCTAAAAATCCCCTCCGCATGTGCTAGCATTCATTTGTGCTGCCAGGACAGTGAGGCCGCAGTGTGCTAAAACACATTACGCATCTGTCATGCTTGAAAATAGCATGAGAGCTTTGTTTATGCCCAAGGTCCTTAACTCTCGACTTCATCTCAAGTCAAGTACAGAAACAAAGCACATGAACCTTTACCATAACGAACACTTGATATGTCGTGAGGAAGATGATTTCTCATGAACTCTCCTTTAGCTATTTTAAAATGCTTTAAATTGGCAACAAAATTTTTACAGTAGATGCAGTAGTATATACATGTATGTGTGTGCATAGTTTGCAGATGTTGTGGATGCACTGGTAATCTCAAATCATGGATATAATTATTCAAAAGTTTTACAGGAGGTTATTTTTAACTGTATCATCATATTTTACTTGCCACTTTCATTTTCTTTCATTTTCTTTTGTTGCTGTGTACTTTTTTTAAATGATAAACTATACATAACTAAAACCAAAGTTGAGATGACATTTAAATAAACATTCCTCTTGAAATGCCTAACCAAGCTTTTGTAATTATTTTGCCTTAACCACTGGGTGTCAGTGTTGGTTAGCCAATCACGTTAGGCACAATTTCTCTATCTCTGTATCCCCTAACAAAGGGTGTGAATAAAGTATAAAGCCAGAATGGACATTTGGTCCAAACATCTGTTGTTTCCCAAACTGAAGGCAGGACGTCCATGATGCCCAGCTGCTCTGAGATTAGAGACATGAGTTTAAATCCTTAGAAAGGAGGGTGAGAAAGATTCATTTATAACTGTGTTCGCAAACTCACCAGAATTTACTGGTGTACCCTTGAGCAAGGCACTGCTTCAATAAAGCAGCTCATTTGTCGATAGTACAGGATGGTTGGTTATAGCCTCCAGATGTGTGTATGTGACATCTGTAAAATAAAAAATGTACTCAGTTAACAGGAAAGGGAACAAAGTATTTTCATGCATTGGTTCTGATATAAACAGTGGCTTATTTCTATGTAAGTGTTTCTTTATGTAGGTTTAGGTAGAACCCCTGTGTGCACTAAAAACACCATTGGAACTACAACATCTGCAAGAGCGGTAGTAGTTTTTAAAATGTTTTGATTGCCACACCTCACTGTGCTGCTTCTGCTTCACTGGATCAATACAGGATTATTTACTTCAACTTGGGTCATTTAACAACATCTTAACAATCGACACAGAGGAGCAAATTTACTTTGTTGTTCATTTAACACAATGGCTTCAAAGATGCATTTTACTGCATAATAATTTCACTGTTTCACAAAACCCTCGCAGCTTGATTTTAGCAATCTCCAAAATACAGATTTAGATTAATCACAGAAAACAGTCTTTGCTGAAACTATTTAGTTTTATTTTGCTGCTGTGTTTATATACACAAATCAAGCTTGATATACGGCAGCACAGCTTCAGCTATAATGAGCAGTTTCCAAAACAAACTGAGATTATGAAACCTAAAGTAAGGAAGGAAGGACGGAAACCATTAATTTCAGGCTTGCAGCTGTATGGGGAATAATCCCTTTTGACCCACAACCCATCTTTGTGTGCATCTCTGGGCAAGACATGATTAGGTCAACCTCACTGTGTCACATGTGCCGTAATCCTTTTAAATCTGGCGGAGTTCTGGAGTCAGTACTGCTGCCATGAATGTAATCACACTAAAAACAGGCTCTGTTCCAGTGTCATGTTTTACTCAGATTCAGGCAGGCGGACAGGAACCGTACAGTGTATGATTTACTCTGATCAGGCTCAGGCTCTATAATCAACACTGATTACTTCCTTTTACTTCCCTGCTCAACACCCCATGCATCTTAATTGCAATTAGCTCTCTTCTGAAATTAAAGCAGCTTGGAGTAGTTGAGCAAAGGATAACACTGTATGTGTTTGTAGGTGTGTTTGTGTGAATTTATGTGATGCCACTCAAATTTATAAGCTTTCCTTTAGTATCTAGCACATACACATCTGTCTGACTCCTGTACGTGTCCCATGTAATACAGTATCTTACTTGAGAAGTATTCCTTGACATGATGAGGGGAAGCACATCTTAAGCTGACTGTAAGCTGTCTGATGTCATGTAAGATCCTATTTATTTATAGATACAAGACATTTCCATTATATAGCATAACTTAATCAGTTTGCTAAGTAACATGGCTTTGTCCAGTTATTTCATTTAAAACGTGAAAAGCAAGATGAGCTTTTCTGCATGTTTTGACAGAAGCAATAGGGATCCCATTTCTTTTGGGGCATGTTCAAACAAAATTAAAGCTATGGAAACTTAAAAATTAAAAGTGTTTTTTTTTTTTAATGTTGGCAATTATTAGATTATGGGTGGATTAATCGATTAGTATTTTGATAATCAATTAATACTGCATAATTTTTCAAGCAAAAATGCCAAAATCTGGTGGATTCCAAATTCTGAAATGCATATGTTACTTTTTGTTATATATATATCTTTGAGTTTTGGACAGCATGTTAAACGTGACAAAATAAGCAACCTGAATATGTTACCTTGGGCTCTTGCCATTTTATTGACAATGTTTTATTTACTGGTAAAGTATTCGGCAGATTCACTGATAATGAAAATAAAGTTAAAGTTCTTCTTTAACTTAACATTTTCTAAAAAAAAAAAAAGTTCGGTTTTGAACGGTTTTAACCTGTTTTATCAAAGACAGGAAACCTCTAAATCATAGCTCCATATATGAATCCTGTCTTTATGGTGTGATTGACAGCTCATTAGCTTAATTAGCTAATCGTAATGGCAGCTAGGAGACCTGGGACCTGTGTGTCTTGAACTATGCAATGAAGGGCTATTATTGCAGAAGCCTCTCCAGTTGGCTGCATTTTTCTCAATACAAATTCCAGATATCTTCAGTGGGCATTTTAGCCACTCAACAAAAAGCAAAGTGAGCTAGTAAACAAGATTTAGTGCAAAGTGCGGCGCAGCATGGCAGCTCAGCACCAGGTGAGTGTTTCCAAATTAATTGTGCACTGGCAGCTTATTTGTTACCTATACGCATATTCTACTTTGACAGCTGCTGTACTCCGGGTGAAAATTTAACGTTAAGCAGCTTGTTGGGATTCCTAAATGAATGTGTTCCCCTTTATTTATCTTCCTTAAATACATACACGCATATGAGAGAGAAACACTGACCGTACTTGTCCATCTACTGAGGTGTGTTGAACCAGTTTAGCGCATGAGCAGATAGTCTATCTGGGTGTATTTTGTGCTGACTAGTCAAACTCTTGTTGTATCGTGGATGTGTGTTGTATTGCAAATAACGCAGCTGCTCTGTAGTATTTTGAGTTCACATTGTTACCATACTAACATTTGCTAAATAACAGGAAACGCAAAATACAGTTGAGGCAGATGGGACTGTCGTTCGTTTGACAGATGGTCATAAACCAAAGGACAAATAGAAAGTGTGACCCGATGAGGGCACTATAAAACATTTGAGGGCATCAATCACCAGTGATTATAGTTCATCCTGAGGGGAACATGAACATGCATATGAAATTTCATCTAGCAATTGGCTATATGTGAACTGTATGGTGATCCTAGTGGAAAGGTCAGGGGATCATCAAAGCCATTAGGATTCATCCTCTGGTATCTATGAATATCTGTGACAATCCATGTTGTAGATGTTGAAATATTACACAGGATAACTGAAACTTTGGACAAACTTTCATAGCAATCCATCCAGTAGAACTCTAGTCCAGTAGATATTTCTGTCTGGACCAAAGTGGTGGACAAACAGAATGCCTAATAATGTTATGAAATATTATTTGTAACAGAAATATTTATTTTCTTGTATTATCCCTTCAATCATCTGGTCACCAACCTTAAAATCTATCAAGGGATCCATATCTAACTTGTTTACTTTGGAAGACAGCTAGTGTGAGATACAGGATCCAACATCTTTCGCATGGATTATTATTATAGGAACTAGTCCACACTATGGCAATGGTGGAAAAAAAACTTGTACCTTATATTATTAAAGCATTCTGTGCATACAATTAGCATGGTAAGACAACATTTATAGGAGTGGACTACAGAGCCCCTGACTTGGTCAATTTCCTGTCTTCAGACAGAAGTCACACCTAATAGGCCAGTGTCAGGCTAGTCACACATAAAGTAACACACTCACACTGTCAACAAGTCGCTTTCTTCTTGTGTAGTCGCCACACATACTCTCTCCAGGACTTACACGCACACAGGACAGAGACAATGACAGACACAAATATCTCATACAGCACAGTGAGCCGGTCACCAGGACAGGCATTTCCTCTGGGATCGCTCTACTTGTCAGCCAGCTGTTTGTGCTGTCTGAGAGCTTGCTGTGTTGTTTGTTGGCCTTCTTGTCTAGGCGATAGGACTTCACAGTCTCTATTCTCATGGCAACAGCAGTGGATCAGGTTACTTTCAGTGACACGATTAGTGTTGACATTTCCGTTGTCCTACTGTATGTTGTTATGTATCATCTGTGCCTTATTTGTAGTTCAAAGTGCTTATCAAGCTGCTGCCCAGCCTGTGTGGATGTAGAGTACTGCAAGTCAACTATGTTTGGAGTCATGCGATTTGGAGGGAGCATGGGTATCGTTGGCATTTCTTTTCTGTCTTGTAATGCCATTTGACCTTTTTCGGGGCAAGCGTGTCTTGGCTGCCATCAATAAGCTCTCGAATGAATTCAAGATGGAGAGTAATTTTATACAGAACATTCCTTTCTACATTTTAATTTCACTGTTCGTTCCTTTTAACACCCAGATGCTTGAAAATAATGTTTGTGTGTATTTTCAGGGCAACATGAAAGCAATTACAGGTACTCAAAGGGTGCATCTTTGTTGTCACTCATCTCCTTGGATTGAGGATGTTGCTCTCTGAAGTGGACTGGAGCTCTCAGTGCCAGAGTCGAGAGTTACCTTGCCTATTTCATGCTTTATTATAGAACAAATAAAAGACACACTTGTCTTTGCTGTCTGCCAGTTTGTGGCCGGGCTTTTGTCTGCTACTCGCTGTCTTGTCCCTTTCTTAGGCCAGATTGTTCAACTGTTTCATTGGCAAAGTATTTTACTCTACAACATTGTAGCACTTTTTTTGGGTATTTAGACAATAAAACATTATCACATATCAGCAGTATAAATATTAGTGCTCACATTAAAATGTAGAGAAGTAGAGAATGTTGACAGAGTAATGTTTCTTAAGTATTATTATTCTAGGTAGTGTTTATTTTAAGTGTGTGTCCATGTACATAGCTGTGTGTGTAGGTGTAATGGTTGGTCTGGACTAAAATAAATTTATGTTTCTGTCCTCCTTCCTCTGTCTATGGTATTGACCACAATTTGTGTCACTCTAATCCCTGTTATTAATCCATGTTGAGTCGCTCTGAGTCATTCAGACTGGTTGGGATTATTGTGGACTCATCTGACAACAGTTTTTTGCCTTGTATGTGTGACAAATGTGAGGGTTAACGGAATACATTCAACTCATCTCACCTTGACAAATACTGTAGCGCTGAAACAATAATAAATTATTCTATTGACAAAAGAGTCAACAACAACTTTGGTATAGAACTGAAACGATTGGTCGATTAGTTGATTGACAGAAAATTAATCAACAACCAATTTGATATTCATTGTTTACCTATTTTCTTAAAGCAAAAAAAAAAAGCCCACTGTTTACAATTTTTCAAATTAGAATATATGCCTACACGTCTCTGTGCTTTAGACTTCTGTACAGACAGTTTTAAGTTGTTGCCTTGGGCTCAGGGAAATATTGTGACAAATATTTACTATTTTCTGACATAGACCAAATGATGAATTGATTTAATCAGGGAAATGATAATCAGTTTAATACATAATACATACAATACGTAGAGCGGGTTGCCTGTTAATCAGAAGATCAACGGTTCATTCCCCGAAACTGAACCCTGAATTGTCCCCGGTGGCTGTTCCATCAGTGTGTGAATCTGTGTGAATGTTACTTTGCATCCTGAGCACTTAGGCTCAGTATATAATTATGGCTGAATGTGACATAGTGTAAAAGCACTTTGAGTGAGCAGAAGACTAGAAAGGCGCTATACAAAATACAAACCATTTACCATTTTACCATTACATAATTAAAATAATTGTTAGTTACAGCCCTACTTTAATAATCAACTGCACAATTAAGTTTTTTTATCAGGTAAAAAGGCCAGCATTCCAGCTGTATTCAAATATGAATATTTGCTGCTTTTCTCTGTTTTAAATCACTGTAAATTTAATATATTTTGGTTTTGGACAATGGTTTGACAAAAAAACCCAACCTATTTCAGCTTGGGATTCTAGAAACTTGCAATGGTTCACTATTTTCTGTTCTTTTTATTGGCTGAAACAACTGCACACTCAAGGAACCCAAAAGCATTTGACTAAAACAGTCTATCCACAGGTTCGGTGATGAGGATATCGATTACTGCATGCCATGAAAACCTCACTAGTATAAAGTAGTCAAGGCTTAGACATGCGAAGTCTGATATTTTCAATACCAACCTTAAAAATAAGACGAATGGGAAAAGTAAAGAATGACTAGTGTCATGAAAATTATTAATTTTACAGACAGAGAGAAATGATGGTAACAGAACAACAGGGCGTGGAGGAGAGTGTACAAAAATGGATTATAGAAGGGAGAATAAGGAGAGTTCAGAAAATCTTCATATGGAGTAGAAAAATGAGAGGTTGAATTAGAGAGGAGGAACAACAGCATATGTCCTGGAGGAGGAATACTAGACTGTCACACGTAAGTGAAGTCGTTCATCATCTATAACCTTGCCAGGACACAGGACATACTCCCAGAAATCTGATGTAAACAGAAAGAGACAACAACAACACAAAAGTCTCACAGGGCTGGTTGATAAACATTGTTACAATCCCCAAGCAGCCCAGTCCAACCTAGAAAAAGCCTTGTTTCTCTGTACCAGTTGGAGCCAGAGATAAGTAGAGGGCTCATATAGCATAAAAAGATTTCTGCAGATTTATGAAGCTCTGGCACAGCGAGGTATTGATCCCTTTCTTTTATCTGAGACAGTCAGATGAAGAGTGAAGACTACTTCAAATCTCAGAATGTTTTACTTACATGTTGTGAGCTATAGGTTGCATAATAAGCAATCAATAGAATTAGTTAGAAAGGCAGTACAGGGTCTTGTACAGGGTCAAGACAATTGGAGACAACACTGGAGGTGTTTGGAGCAGTGTCTGTAGATTATTCTATAACAAGGTGCGTTCATTCATTTGAACAGCACAAAATTGTATCTTAGTGGCAACAGAAGCCTCAGCAGCTGATATCACTTGGAGTGAGTTTAAAATGATTGTTCTGAATTTGGATTTATGTGAACTGACACATTAGGGAAGAGAATTAGTAAACAGCTAAACCCTCCCCCAGATAGTGGTTGTGCTATCATAGCTTAGCTGTAGGCACGGCAGGATTGTCAAGCTTTGGATTTCTCCACATGATGAAGTGCTAGTCTTGTGCCGATTGGCGACTGGATCAGCTATCAACGATTGACGGGATGATCAGTGATTGGTTTTTCATGCACCAATATTAAGGCGATTTTAACTAAATTACTATTAGAACTAAGATGACCTAAAAAAGTCTCTAGAATCTGCACTACACTGCAGTGACCCACCTTCAAATAAGTTATAAGCAAGCATGTAAGGAGCCTAGCTAATATGGATAGCTATGTTAATGTTAGAATACTGCTGGGTTGTTGAGGTTAGCACGCTCTACATAGCCGCTATCGATTTTAAAAAATTTAATGAAGAGGAGTAAACAGTGCGTTTATCTCCTCCAACGTTCAAATGTTAGCATGTCCAGCCAGTTAGCTTATTGCAGCAACCTAACCATGTTACTTCCCAGAAGAGTGCTGGGAAATGATTAAAACTTGTAATCGCAATTAATTGAATGATTTTCTTGGGATTATTCGCATTATTTTG